GAGAGAGAGAGAGAGAGAGAGAGAGAGAAACAAAAAATCGAAAACGCAACAGGAACGGCAATGTTCGGTCGTAAACGATTTTTGTCCGTGAGAAAGGATGACACAGTTGAAATCGGGATTTTGATTGTGCAAGTTATCGTCGACGAGATCATCGTCGAACGTCACCTCGGTGAAAAACGAGACGATCGTCTGTTTAATATACCGGGTGACCGGCGATAAACGACGAATAAATTCCACGGTCAAAATCCACCGGCGTAATTACGGGGCAGCCCGCGATGCACCACGGTTCCGGAGACAATTGGCGAGGGGAAAAATTCATTTTCCACCTATTTGGATAGTTTTCCACTTTTTCGCATGCCGTTCCGAAATTGATTCCCGGGTTCGGTTGGAATTAAACGGGTGTACGATTTTTATGGACGTGGTCGTTTTAGGCAGGATTGAAATAAATTTTTATTCGAATAATATTACTCAGAAAATGAAAATTTCATATTTACTTTTTGCTTGCTATATTATTTTATATTGAATAATATTATTTTATAGAATAATAATATTGAGAGATAAATTATTTTCATATTTGTTATTTTAATTGATGATTATTTAAATATTTTTTTAGAAATTAATTTTGCAAATTTTATCAAAATGAAAGATAAAATGAAATGTTTCGTTTCAGAGGCGCAACAATTATTGATTATATAGATTATATAGATAATAAAATTAATAATATTAATTTTAAGTAATTTTGAGTAATTTTAACATTCAAATGAATTGAAGAAAAAGTATAATAATTTCGAACTAACTATAATGATATATTATATAGATAATATAGATATTATTTTATATATGATAATATATTATTTTTAATTATTATTATTTATATAAATCAATTTCAATTTTAATAAACGAAATGAATTATTTTCTATCATTATAAAATTTTAGATTTAATTTAACTTATTTATTTAATTTATTTATATATTTATATAATTTTTATATATTTATATATTTATATATATTTATTTATATATTTATTTATATATTTCTATCTCAATCAATTTTATTTTTTTTTATGTTATTTGAAATAATTATTTGTTTTTTTTATATCTTATTTTTATTCAAATAAAAGATATTCAATTCTAATTTAAAATTATAAAATGATTTAATAAGAATTCAGATGAAATATATAGAGAAAATATAAAAATTGAAATTTTATTGAGAAATTTAAAGTAAGTTAATTTATTTTTTGTAAAATTTTTTTATTATTAAAGTCAACTATAAATCAAGAATTAAAAATTTAACTAAAATAAATAATAAGTGGATAAATCGATATGAATAGAAAGTTAATATAAATTCACTTGGATTTTATAATATATGATTTGTTCTTTAAATTAAATTTAAGTAGATATGAGTAATTGCTAAAACTTAAAAATTAAAAATCAATGAATAAAGGTTGAATATATCATGAGAGTTGTTGCACTATAAATTTGCAATAAATTGGATAACTAATTTTTAATTTAATTATTTTGCTTTCTCATATATTATTAAAATTTTTACAATTTTAATGTAGAATATTTGATGAATTAAAAATTAAGATTTATCTAAATTTCAAAATTTGATGTAATTAATTTTCTACTTAGTTAAATAAAACGAATATCATGTGTAGAATGAATTTGAATGGAATTTTGATGGAAATAATAATGTATTAAAAGTTAATGTGAAGTGAAATAGAATTGATGTAACTTGAACATACATTTCCAATAGATTTAATAATAGAGGTAATAATGAATTAAAAGTTAAAATGAATAGGAGTAGAATTCATGTAACTTTGACATACATTTCCAATGGATTTAATAATGCAATGGAAATAGTAATGAGTCAAAAACAAGTGGATTTCGTTGAAATGAATGGGGAGTTAAAATGAGCGCGATATGTATAAGGATTGAGATGATATAAGAGGTAGATTCGATGAAATTCATTTTATTTGAATTAATTGAATAAATAATTATAATAAAAATTATGATAAATTAAGAAATTATAAATTCAATTAAATGAGAGATAAGAAAATACATATGCATCTATTTAATTGATTTTCTGTTTAAATAGGATTAAATGAATTTATGATTCTATGGAAAATAATAATTAAATAAAGATATGGTTAAAATAAATAAGAATTGAATTAATGTAAATTAATGGTAATTAAATTGACATTAAAATTAAAATAAATTATTATTTTGTCAGATTATTTTTATTAATGGATAATTATTATATTATAATTGTACAATAAATAAATCATAAATATTAATTATATAAACATAAAAATATATAAATATATGCAATTAACTTTTTAAAAATTTTAAAAATATTGTTTTAGAAATGTCTAACAAAATTATTAATTGTAATTAAGAAAATCAAATATTATTGTTATTATTAGATTTATTTCATGTTAATTATTATATTATTATTATATGTTAATTATTAGACTTCATCAAAAAATATTAGAATATTATTATATAAATATTAGAAATATTAGATATTATCAAATTATATCATTAAATAAATTATAGAATATTATTTTATTTCAAAATTTAATAAACGAATTACTTCATCATGTTTGATATAATTTTTAATATAATATAATTTCTAATGTTAATTTTCTAAATATAATTCCTAGTTTTACATTTTGACTTTCTAATCTTACTGCAATCTATATAGAGAAAAAAAAAGTAAATAATAAATTTTATAAATAAAATGTTTAAAATGTACATAAAATATGAAATATACTATAATAAAAATTTTTGATTTATATGAAATGCCATAGAATTTTAAAAGTTATTTATCACAAGTTTTATTATATGTATTGACAATTTTGAATTTATTTTTATCTTTTCAAAATTTTATTTTTGATTAATTAGTTAGAGATTTTTGAAAATTAAACATCTAGCAAACCTCGATTAAATTGCTAGAAATGAATTACAATAAATT